CACACACACACACACACACACACACACACACACACACACACACACACCCTCTGCCTGCCAAGAACGCCAGCCTGGGGACTGGTGCATCGACAACCTAGAGAAGCTCTCCTCCTGCCATGGCCGAGCTCCCACCGTCCTAGGGGACGCCTGGGGGGGTGGGGGAGGATCTTGGCGGAAAAGCCTCAGAAGTTCGTGGAAAGAACCCACCGGTGACAGGTCCTAGAAGTGGGCGCTGCAAGAGAAAAGGCGGGGAAGGGGGGTGGGGAGGGAGGAGGGAGGAGGGCAGTGAAATTTTATTTAGCAGGCCCGCAAGGGACTAGACGGCAGAGTCTGGGGGCCGGGGGGGGGGGGGGGGGGGGGGGGGGAGTCGGCCGCAGCGAGGGGCTGGACCGGGCGGGGGGGGGGCGGGTGGGGGGGTGGGGGGGGGGGGGGGGGGGGGGGGGGGACAAGGTCTGACACCTCCCTTCCCCCTTCTGTAAACGAGCGCAGGTGGGCGCGCGCGCGGCGGCCCGTGAGACAAGACGCACTTACCCTGGGGCCGGTGGTGCGGTGGCCGACGGCCGGGGACAGCTGCACCAACACGAGCAGCAAGTGGGGCGTGAGCAGGCGGACGCGCGCGGGCAGCATGGTGCCAGGCGAGCCGGGCAGCCGCAGGCGGGCAGCGGGCAGGGGGCGCAGGCTAGCTCCGAGGCGCTCGTTTGGGGGTGGGGGTGGGGGGAGCGGCCGAAGAGCCTGCGGCAGGGGGCTGGCGGAACCTGCGGCCCGGGGGTGGGGGGGTCACGGTCATGAACGGCGGAGACCCGGAGCTGGAGCGCGCGAGCGTGTGCTCTGCGCGTGGCGCCCGCTGCGCTCGGCTCGGCCCGGCCGCGGCGACAGCAGGTTGGATGCGGGAGCCTGGGCCATGGGAATTCCCGTTATAAACCCCGGGCCGGGGAGGGGCGGGGCCCGGCGGGGCTGACGGACGGGTCGGAAGGCCTGTAGCAGCCGACCCTCCGGCAGGTGGAAGCCAATGGGAGAGAGGACGAGAGGGGCGGGTCGTGGTCAGCCCCCCTCCCCATAGCCAAGCTACACTAGTTTCTCCCTTGCCTGAGCGCGCTCTGGCAGCGGGCTGCGATGAAGAGGAACTTTCTTGGCAGTCCTCCCTGGGAACCTGCGAGCGCTCCAGCACCCTCAGTCCCTCCTGCGTGGATAATAGAAGGAAGAAGCCTTGAGCACTTACCGTGTTTCAGCTCTTAGACTTGAGCTGTCGCAACAGCTCCGTGAAGCGGGCAGGGAAAGCTCCATTTTCCCTATGACACAAAGATCTTGAGAAATGTCTACGACACCGGGGAAAACCTGGGGAGACACCGGGTGCCGCCCATGGTGTGTGACCTGCGTTAGAAAGAGGAGTGGGAGGGTTAGTTTCCTTCACACACACACACAAACTCATCTTCGGGTTGACATCTGAGTTCCACAGTGGCTGCCCAAGAGAAGTCCCACGGAGGCAAAGCGAAGCATCCAAGGCTGGGGAGTGCCCCTGAGGGTCTGGGGTCTAGTCACGCACACTTGTGGTCCTGTGGGCCACGTGATCTGGGATCAGAACCCAGGCATCCTGGCTTACCAGTCTGTACTGGAGGTCCAAAGGAGCAGCCTCTTTGTGGCCTGGAAACTCTGGAGAAAAAGGTCTAAAGAATCTCTGGTTCCATACAGGGAGGACAAGGCATGCATGAATGGAGGCGTGGTCTGTGAGTGCAGAAATCCTAGAGACCTCCAAGGAAGGAGCGATGTTGCCTGTAGAGGCTAACCCCACTATAAGCAGACTTGTCAGGTGCTGGAGCTCGTAGTTCCGGAGGCCAGCCTCCGGAAACGGTCACAGCACATCACACATACACACACACACCTCAACCCAGCAAGGTGTCTGCTGCCTTCCCCACGAGAGACTCGTGATTATCTCCAAAAGTGGAGCACAGCTCTTGGTACATGGTTTCCGCCGGTCTGTAGGGAGAGATCCGGTTCTCTAACCAGATTGCAAGAAAGCCCAGGATTCACAGCTCCCTGACTGCCCTGAGAGGTCCTGACAAAGATTAACTCTGCTGCCTTCCAGCTTCTCTTCTCGATTATCTGAGCAAGCTCCCCAAGGGGGCTGACACACAGCCTTCACCCTGTAGCCAGACAGTCTCTCTGAACAACAAACCAGAATGCACCACTCTCTGCTCAAAGGGCTTTGCACCTCCCCCATCGGCCTCAGACAGAAACGCCCAGGTAAGAATCAAGGGTTTGCCAAACAAAATAAAATGAAGAACGTCTCTAAAAGAAGTGTCCTTATGTCTGGCCTGAAGTCAGTTCTAGAACAAGATCCTGCCACCACCACCGCTGGGGTGAGTGAGATCCCAGGTCTGCCATCTAGTGGTAAAACCTTGAACACGACTCCTCTAAGATCTATTTTCCCCTCTGTGAAATGGGAGCGAAAACGGCATCCATGCCATGCGTGTGTTATTGGCAGAACTAAAGGAGTTAAAAGTGAGTAAGGCCTTTACAATGGCACATGAAGAAAACAGGATAATAGTTCATAATATTTTGTGCTCAGGGTGATTTTTCACACCGAAGCAGGTCAGCGGCAATGCATGAGATTGACTTCTCCTCCAGTGGCTTCGTCTGTTTAGTAGATGACGGAGCCAATTTTCTAGACTGGGTTTTGGTTGTCTTAGTCTATCTCTGACCCGTGGAGTCTTCCCCTCTCCGAATCACTGGGAATTTCTCTGGAGTCTCAGCTTCGCCAAGCATCAAGGGGGAAAGGCGTGATCAGCAAAGGTGAGGCCTTCCTGGAACAACCCTGGTGGTATGGAATACTAGGATTTCACCAGCTGGGCTTGTGACCCTTGTCCAGCCCTGAGTGTGCGGGTAACGCTTAAGCCGTCTCCATGCACCTTCCGTGTTTACCCACAGGGGGCGCAGCAGGCTGCAGGTTTCTCCTGACTCCGCTACCTAGCCACATGCAGCCATGGCGCTGACCCACTGCCTTCTGGTGCTGGAATTATTGAGAAAGCTCTTGGAGTCGGCAAACATGCTCAGATGGCCCCTGGTCTCTGGCTGTATAAAGCCCCCAGGGGGAAGCATTCAGTAGTGCTTTCCATCCCCAACCCCAAACGCTACTTTCCAGCCAGAAAACTCATTTCCAAATAGTCCCTGGTCCAAAAGTCGACATCGTGCTGGCCTTCAACCACGTAGCTTAATTTAAAATACAAGCAACTGCTTTCCAGTTACTCTGCTCAGTGAGTATTTTCTTTCCTGCTGGTTGGCGTACAGGGCCTGTCATGACTGTGGTCACCATTCTTGTGATACATCTTCTTCTCCCCCCTCCTCCAATGCTCAGGGACACTCAGAGACCCCAGAGATCCCCTAGTCCTAAAGCAGCATCACTCTGCCAGCCAGGCTCTATCTTGTGATCCAAGAAAAAAAAAAAAAAGTAAAATTGACGAGTTGTCTTTCCCTAGAGACCAGGTTTATGACCCCAGAATAAATCTAGCTGGCCTGGCAACTGGTCTGTCCAGTTTTAGTCATATTCTCTGCCCTTTGCGACTTCTCATTCCAAGAGGATATTCCAGTGGAAGAAAAAAAATCATAAAATAATATTTTATATTATAACTAAGGTCTGGGGGCCTCAGCTCTGTGGCACTACTGGAATGACAGTTGGAAATGCCTTGCCCCCTTTTTTTTTCTTTTGGTTTCTCAAAACAGGGTTTCTCTGTATAGTTCTGTCTGTCCTGGAACTCGATCTGTACACCAGGCTGGCCTCGAACTCAGAGATCTGCCTGCCTCTGCCTCTGCCTCTGCCTCTGCCTCTGCCTCTGCCTCTGCCTCTGCCTCTCAAGTTCTGGGATTAAAGGCATGCTCCACCACTATCCAGCTATCTTGCCCTTTTGTCTTATTCAGAATAGCAACATTCTCTTCATTCTAGCAAGCACAATGTTTCTTGTTAAAGGGGATCTTTGTCCTACAATTTAACTGAGATGGAGAACAGATAGGGAGACCATATCTAAGAGTAAGGTTTACATTGTATGGGGACTCAGAGAGCAAGGTGTCGTTATATATCTACCAGGCAGGAAGATCCCCTTCCTGTGAGCAGCGAGTCCTGAAGGAGATCTGAAGCAAAGTGCCTCAACAGTGTCATTGAAGTCTGATTTATGTTTGCTTCACTGTAGCGGCCACAACCAAGCCAGGGTGTCTAAGGTGAAGATTCTTGTCAAAAGCATGTCTGAGCTCAGGAGTTTGGGATACTAGGACTTAACTTACAATTTGGTTAAAGTAGGTCATTTATTAGTCTTACTTTGCAAACAAGGCTTGTCCACAGAACTTAAGCTCACCAAGGTCCTTGCTTGAATAGAAAGGTAATTTAGAAACTTATCTGTGTCTAGTCTAGATTCCTACCAATTCATAATAAACAGCTTCCATCTGGTGGCCCAAGATGGCTGGTCAAGTACTACCCATCACATCTGTTTTCCAATGAGCAAGAAGGAAAAGGGGAAAGGAGAGTTTGTACTTGCCAGAAGTTACACTGTGTTCTCTCTCCTTGACTACAACTCTATAGATATCCAGGTAAACATAAAGGGTCACTAAGGAAAGAGACACAGTTGGCAGTAGAGGCTATCAACATTATGGTACTTAGTTGCCAAATGAAAGGTCTTTAGCTCCCTTATATTAAAAAATACATATAAATGGCTGCTGAGCATTAAACATGTGCCCTTCCCACAAAACTCATCTCTTGGAACGCCGTGTTCTTCATGTAAAAGAAAGAGATGTCAAGAGGTCATCAGGAGCAATTGAGGTCATAGGGGCAGAATGCAGACGAATAGGATTAGTGCCTTCATACAAGTTATAGGAGAACTTGCTTCTCTGGACTGTCTGATCTCCACCATGTAAGGCTTTGAAAAGTTGGCACTCTGGCTTCACCAAAGCCCAACCATGCTGGAACCTTTGTCTTGGATTCCTAGCCTACAAATTTTTGAGAAATAAGTGCTTGTCGTTTATAAGCACCTAGTCCATGGCACAGCAAAATGTATACAGAAGTCAGCCCAGGAGATAGAATTGTGTAACAGTCAACAGAGCTGATAGGAATTGGATATGCAAAGGTCCATGTAAGTGCTTTGACATCAGACATGGAGGTACAGGATTTGGAGTTTGCCCTGATGGGTTTCGGTCTTGTTTTGGTTCAGTGTCTCCTCAATGTGCCCCATTCCTCCCTTTTGAAATGGTATTGCACGTTCTGTGCCATTGTGTGTTGAAAGTATGTAGTTTGCTTTTTAATTCTGATTTTACAAGAAGTTGCAGTTAAGAGATTGTCCTAAGGAGAGACTTTGGACTTTGGGCTTTTAGGCAATGTTGAGACTATAAAAGACGAAGGGGATTTTTGAAGTTGGACTGAATGCATTTTGCGTTATGATATGGCTATAAGCCTTTGAGGGCTTCTGAGTAAAATGTAGTGTTTTCATAAGAATGGCCCCCATTGGCTTGTGTGTTTTAATGCTTGGTGCCTAGTTAGTGGAACTGTTTGAGAAGGATTAGGAGGTGTGGCCTTGTTAGAGACAGTGCATCACTGGGGGTGAGCTTTGAAGTTTCAGAAGCCCAAGACAGGCCTAGTATCTCACTCCTTCTGCCTGGGACCTGTGAATCAAATGTAAGCTCTCAGTTGCTGCTCTGACTCCCCGCCTGTCAGCTGTGTTCCCTGCCATGACTGTTATGAACTCATGCTCTAAACTGTAAACCAGTTCCTAATTAAACACTTTCTTTTTATAAGTTGCCTTGGTGGCAATGTCCAGTCACAGCAGTAGAAAAGTTACTAAGGCAGTCTGTTTTAAAACTTTTCTCAGCCTGGAATTAAATACTCCATTTGGTCCTAACCCATCAGCACTG